GAGAGAGAGAGAGAGAGAGAGAGAGAGAGAGAGAGAGAGAGAGAGAGAGAGAGAGAGAGAGAGAGAGAGAGAGAGAGAGAGAGAGAGTTGGTTGGAAACTGCATTGATTTGGCTGGCGAGTTGTTGGAACCAGTTCGGTTGGGTGGGTTGGGTGGTTCGGGTGACCTGGATGGGTTTGATGGGCTGGCTGGGCAGACTGGGGCTGGATCTGCTGAGTTGGTTTGAATTGTTTCTGTGGCTTGGGTGAGTTAGTAGGATCGAGTTGGTATGATCAGGTGGTTGGGTGCATATGCGGAGTGGGGTGGGGTCGGGTGGTTTTGTTGGTTGCACTCGATTGTGCATTGAACCATGATCCGCAGACACCCAGAATATGACTCACAGCACACTGAAACTTCACCGCTGATTCACACTGAATACCGCACACAGAATCAGCATGCATGAAATGAAACCGCTCCAAAGTTTTCTTATTTACAAAAACGAAATTGTATACAACCTGTTTATGGCCGCTATCACCAAAGTCAAGAATAGGTAACCTCTCTCACTTTTTGCTTCCTGCGCTCAACCTCACCCTCTCCTAACTCGTATCACTCGCCTCACTCTCTCACTCTTTTCGCTCCCCCATCTTTGGATCACTCTACCTCCTGAATACACCTGCTCTACCTATACTTCGTTTTCTTCCTACGGCTGGCGGCTATGACCACCTCCGTCCTCCTTGTCTGCCCTAACTATGGCACTTCGCCTTCACCCTTCGTCTCCCTCATGAACCCGACTGTCCAACTCCTAGTCGCAAAAGCGCTACAGTAGAGCTTTGGCAACACGTGAATTGACAAGCGACGCGGCTGCTGCACTGTAGCAACTATAAATAGCAGCTGAAGTGAATCAATGTCAGCTCTGAACCAGGACCGGTCGATGCTGCATGCCGGCTGCACTTTGCGAGTTCCAGAAGCAACCAGCCTTTCCCAGGATGCTGCTTCAAGTTTGGACTTTGGGACTGTCGACTTTTCTTGTCGGGTACTGGGCCCCTGACTTCTAACTGCCGAATCGACGACGATTCCAAACCTAGGACCTACCGGACTCCTAGGACCTAGCCTGCGACCTACCAGGGCCAACTGGGACTGGGCCCAGGTGGGACTCTGGGACCGGGACTCAGGACACACAAAGCATGAAATCCTGTCAACTGACTTGCTTGTTTAGGTTTAGCCTGGATGTTGGGTTGGTGGGTAAGCTTAGTTGGTTGAGTTTGGTTGGGTTCTGTGGTTGGTTGGTTTGATTGAGTCAGGATGCTCATTGGTCCTGGACTGGTTGATTGGATGGTTGGTTGGGGTGAGGTGGGTTGAGTTGGCTGGTTGTTGGGTTGGTAACTTGGTAGGGTAAAACCTTAGGAAGGGTTGGTCTGGATGGAGGGATCTGTCAGGACACATGGAAGTCTGGTCCATTGGCTGCGTGGATGGGTGCATCAGTGGGTTTCTTGGTTGGTGGGTTGGGTGGGTGGATAGGTGGGTTTCTGGGTTGGTTTGGCGGGTGGCTGGCTGGCTGTGTCCACTACAGTGAATATTCTGTGCCACACGAAAGCTGTAGTGTATACTGCATACTTCAGCCAATTTATCAGGGGGCTGTGACAAGGTTGGTTTGTTACTCTGAGCATAGGCTAGGTAAAAGAAGAAATGGCAATTGTTTACCTCTTCCGGATCCCACCACCACATGTTTGATTGCATTCCTCCCATGGACTAGCAAAATACGCATAACCCTGAAGTGAAGAAATTCAACAACATCACGGAGAGAAAGAATTTCACTATACACATGACTGACCAGAGTACTACCAGTCTGTGTTCACCAATAGTGCCTTCAGACATCCACAAAAAGCTGGAAAGGAGAAGCACAAAATGTCTGCACCAGGACTCACAAATCTTCGCTGTCACTGGTAAACACAATAACCTGTCCAACAGCGTACACCGATCCAGGAGTTTCGGGTAACTTTGGGTGAAGTTTTGGACCGACTCGGGTAGCACAGAGTGCAGTGGTAGGGCATGAAAATAGGACAAGAATACGGTACTGTGTAGCGTCAGGTTGGATGAATACTGCAAATACAAAATGTTTCAACAGGAGAAGGAGCTTTGGTGGAAAGCCGCACCGGGCACCAGCCTTCGACTACAACTCCAGAAGACCACAAAGATATCTCACAGCCTAGCATGGGTGAGAGGATTCGAAGAGGGCCTTCAAGTTAAATAGTCAGAAATGCAAACAATATGAGAAAAACAGGGGCGTAGCAGTGGTAAATCCTTCCCGAAGAGGACATAATCAATGCCACTAACTTGGGTTCTCTCAGCCATGGCAGAGAGAAGGGTGGAGTGAGGTAAGATGTAAGGGACACTGAACCCGGTTTCAGGCTTTCAGCACATTAAAAAAATTCGTTTCTGTGAAAAAGGAGGAGCTTCCAACGACAGTCCAAGCCACCAATATTACTTGAAGTCTTGAACCGATTTCAAATAGACAGCGGTGGTTTCTGGTGGGGAGAATTTAAGTTTTAAACCACAAAACAGGAATGTGTTGCACAAGGGTTAGCTATTTGTCACAGTCTCATTGGCTGAAGGAATGAAACTTATCAAAGTCAATTGTTAACATCAACTTGAACCTGTCAAAAGACTCAAAACTACAATCACTCTAAAGAGTCTAAAGTTTAAGAGTTTAAAAGTTTAAACCGCCACTCCAACGGGCCCTGTATTGTTCATTTTTCTTGTCTACCAGTACCGGGCCAAAATCTACAGTTCCCAGGGCCTGTTGAGGTTCCGTGGGGAAGGGTACCACAACCATTTTTTCCTCATGATGGCACTGTAAAATTTAGGCTCGGGGGGATGCAACTTTTGGTTTGTCAAAATACGTCCGGATGGAGTGTGGTGTGTGATGATCATATGGACACCTGCATGACTCCTAAACTAGGGAGCGATGGAAGGAGGGAGAAAGGGACGCAGAAATGAAAATAGTAGTTCTGGTATTCTGATAGTGGCAGGGGTGTCAGTGCTGCTGATCAACTAGGACTGCAATCTGGAACTATGGCCCGACTATAAGTAGCAGAATGGTAAAGGGAATCACTTTCGAAACCCCTTTTTAATGTTCTGTTTGCCAATGAGTTCCATGTAAATGAGAGGGGTCGAGCCATTCACACCCTGCCTATTGTCAGTGGTATGACTGCTTGGTGTCTAAGGGCATACTCGCACTAGCACAATGTTTAATGTATCTAACCGCAATCAAGTCCAGAGTGAGTATGCCCTAATTTACTCTATGGAGCCTGGTAGACAGAAAATATGCTGGTAGACAGTGCTGTCCACAACGCAGGGCAGGGCCTGGACAAAGGGCTGGACCTCTTGAGGATTTTTTTATTTTTATTTTTTTTTCCCATATCCTCTGGGTATGCTGCCGGTGGTGATAGGAGCACCCACCCTTAGCATGCCGGGGGATGGCTCCTCTCTATTGGTGGGGAGTGGCACCTGCTCAAAAACGGGTCCAGCGTCCCTGATACAGAATGTTTGATACATGCATAAAAATCGTTCGCTGTGGCCTGCCTCTTCACCCCGGAAGGGCCGCCTACTATTTTTTGCTATTTGCAATTTTGCACGATATTTTCCGGACACAGGTAACCTATGAAGGACCAAAACAGTGTTTCTGGAGACCTCTGGAACAGGATTACATCATTACAGAATATGGAAGCGTAATGGGCAAAATTACCTTTGTTTTCGGTAAAGGAACAACCTGTTCCTCGACCTTCTGGAATGAAACTGCCCTGGATGCAAAACCTTTCTTATTTTCCTGTCCAGCTGCATGCTGTGGAGAACTTTGCGAGAGTTTTCCAGATTGGTGCTTTTGTTGCAATGCGATCACCGAAAGAGCACTTTCCGGCTCCTTCCTCAACGGAGGCTTTCCGATTCGGTTATGCGTTGCTAATTGCAATGGAGCTGAACTTTGCCACTTGGCGGCCTCTGTGATCCTCGGTTCCAATGGCCTATGCATCCCGCGCCGAGCAAGCTTGCCCGCCTCCAAAATTGTGCCTTTGGATGAAGATGATCCATTGCCACAATGTCCCTCTGAGTGCTGGCACTGGCCGGCTGGCACTCCTCCATGATGAACCCCAGTCCTGACATCATGATTTTGTCCTCTTTTCTGTTTATCAACGTATTCCTCATAGGTAAATGGAACAAGTGCTTTCTCGCTATTACGCATGCGACCCGGAGAGTTCGCAGAGGAGTAATTCCGTTGCTCTGCATGCTCATCAAACTGCGGAGACACTGAGCTTTCATTGACTGGAAAGTGCACAGACTGGTCCCCGGGCCATTCTCTTCCCTTCTTGGCCTTCTCATCATTCCCAAATGTCTCAGGCCCCAGGTTCAGCAAAGACAAGGGTTCTTCCCCCACAGTTTGCAGAGGTACACCATAGTTCAACTGTATGTCTTGACTGGCCGTGCCTGCGACCCAAATAAAGGTCAACAATACGCTATTATTGATTGTTTGGGAGTCAAGACCTCACGTCTCATGGTGCTCATCCAGAGAGAATCAGTGTCGTCGTAAGCACAAAATTCCTTTCGCCTCACAGCAAATGACATGACAAGGTCATCGGCAGAGGAAGGAAAGACACATGCAAGCATAAGCTCTTAAGCTTAGCGACCAGGTAAGACTTCCTTGTACCCAGACTGCCAGCTTCTTCTTTTCATTCACATTGAAAGGAAGGGGCGAGGCATCTGCTGCATGTCACAAATGATTACATAACGCTTGTCAGTCTGTTCTGCTCCCAAATGATCTGATCTCTGGCCTGAACCTCATGGCTTGGCCCTTGGAAAGGTACCATTTAGGTCTAGCACTTCAGAGTGACAATGCTACTTCAGACCAGTACCGTCTTCACCCGAATAAAACGCCGCGTCATTACAGCCGTATTGGAAGCAACATTCAGTCTAGATGCAGCCATAATGACTGGGTGTTCTATTCAGGTGAAGACGGTAGTTATTTCTGCCACCTCTCTCCTCCCACTGGGTTGTCTCTCTCCTTTCGTGTCCTGGGTATGCAGCTCCTCGAGTTAGTAATTGATCAATGTCCATGCCTACTCAGCATAATATTGCCACATCATTTTTTTTTTCTTTTTTTTTTTAAGCACCACTACCTTTCCCTCATATTGGCTGCGGGGTGGGTCCCTGCACGTTTTTCGGCAAGAGACCAAAACGAAACAACGGCTGCTGTTCGTCCCAGCCCCCAAAATATGCGGTATAGGATCAGTATAGGCTATATTAGTATATTATATTCCCACTTTTCTCAACACTGGGAAAGGTAGTGGTGGTTTAAGTCCAGGTTGTCGTAGTGGTTTGATGCTAGACATATGAAAGTCATCTTCCGTAGTCGGCCATTTGGTTATCCAGATGGTCTGTAGAGGTCCCCATTCATTATGAGACTTCCTCCCTCCCTCCCACTCTCGTTATTTTTCTCCCTGGCGCACCCCTACTCCCACAATCCTACCTCAGTGTTTACCACTCAGGATTATAATTTATAACCCACTCATCATCTGTATGGGGATGACCTGACCAGGCAGTCTTTCAACTAACTTTCTTCCATCTCTGGTCAAGTTTCAAGCAATGGAATTGTCTTTGCAATGACCAGCAAAGTTTCACTCTGAGTTTTCTGCAGTTTTCTGAACATTGATGTTTTTTGGTCTGATTTGCTGAGGAATTCCAAGACTGATAGTGTAGACAAGAATTTAACTCTATCGCCAAGCTCTATCTTCGACGATATTATCAAAGTAAGACAACTATCATGTACCAAGTTGCAAATCTGTTGGACCAAACAACAAGGTCCAAATCCCGCACCCTCCAACTGAAACACAGTCCCGTCATTCTCACAAATACCCTCACATTCACTCCTCTCGCCCACAGACCTACCCCCCTCTTTTTAGAACTGCAAAACCTTCTCCAACTCACAGACCTCCCCTCCCAATCACCCCGCATAGCGACAGAACAACCTTAAAGAAGTCACAGCGAACTGAAGAAGTAGACTAAGGTTCACTATTACCAGGAAATTCGGCACTAGATCCAAAAGAGAATAGGACACACAAAAACGTAGGGTTTTAGCATGACAGCCAGTAGAACTTAAGTTCAAGTTCCTAGGGTTTAGGGTTTTAGAAAGGGGACAGCAAAGGACACACCATACAAGTCCAGATCTTATAGCATAAATCTGACAGCCAAGAGGCTGAGGGGAACAAAAAGGGGCAGGCCTCTAAGTAAGGTAATCTTTAGGGGTTAAGAGTTTTCTATCAGTCAGTCTAAGGGGACAGCAAAGGGCACACCATACAAGTCCAGATCTTATAGCATAAATCTGACCGCCAAGAGGCTGAGGGGAACAAAAAGGAGCAGGCCTCTAAGTAAGGTAATCTTTAGGGGTTAAATGTTTTCTATCAGTCAGTCTAAGTTTACCCCCAAGTAAGGTAACCTTTAGGGGTTAAAAGTTTTCTATCAGTCAGTCTAAGTTTAGCCCCAGAAGGACTTAGCAAATAGGCTAACTTAGGCAGGGGTGAGGGGTGTGGTACGTCCTTCACAAAGGAAGTAATAAATGTCATCCACTCGGGCCTCTCAAGCATAAAGGGGAGGGAGGAGTGTTGGTGTGTAACTAATGTAAATTTTTTCACTTGCCGGTGGAATAGGAACCGGACTGACGCTCATTCTTTTGGGGGTCGGGGTTCCCAAAGGATGGCAACCCTACCAGAGGCTCATCTTTCAACTGCTGAGACAATATGGACTGTGGACCATTTGGAAAAGGAGATGTCAGGCAACTATGGAAGGAACATCAACTCATAGAGAGGAAGCTAGAGAGCTGCTCCTCAATATGGTGGAATCACATCTCAAACGCACAGTGGAAAAGGGTGAGACAGCAAGCTAGACAACACCCTGGGCAAGAGGGGGAAATAATCAAAAAATTTAAACAGAATACTTTGGGTCAGGGGAAAGTAGCAGAGTCCAGAGGCGTACAGCTTTGCTTCAAATGGAGAGAGGAGGGAACAGAAAGGGAGGAGGGCTAAAGGAAAGTGAGGAAAATTAACTTCTCCTTTGATTGTCATCCCTAAGTAGCCTCGGAAAACATTAAAAGATCGGGTTTGAGTTCACCAGTAAGACCTCCCTTGAGTCATATGGAAGGTAAGATGCAGCAGAACGATTGAGGAGGCTGTAAGCGCACGGGAGAGAGTTTGGGTAGAGAGAAAAGGGACAGACGACGAAGAGCAGCGGAAGAAGGCTAGAGACAAGTTCATCAAGTCATGGTTGGCAGGAGGGAGGGCTGCTGAGATGAGGTATGATTCCATATGGAGGAAGGAGTGGCACAACTCTGTCTCAAGAAGAAATCTGGAACAGCAAAGCATAGTATCAGGGAGCGGAACCCTCAATTCGGATTCTAACTGAGTCAGTTCTGCTTTCGGGTCTCTGCTCTTGATCTACAGCGGAGGGGAACAGGATGCAAGTTGGTAACGGAGGTGTACAAGGGAAGCAAAAGGGTCAAAGCAAAGAGTCCCGGAGCAATGAGGACGGCGATCCTTGAATGGGAATGTTATATCGGGGTGCAGTTAAGAAGGACGAGGGTTTAGGGTTCAGGGTTTAACGGTTGCTTAGGCAAAAAGAAAAAACAAGTGGAACGGGAAGGGCTCGGGTGGATGATCACAATAGAGGGACTCTTTCTAGGATTTAGCGATGAAATCTGGCAGACCCATTTCTCTGGTCTGAGAGGAAAGAGAGAGGTTGGGCAAGCTGGCAGTCAATCCTCCACTGAGGTGGAGCAATCAATGYTGTCCAGGGGTCCTTCGGCCAGACGGAAGGAAGCGTGGGTGAAAGTACTTGTTGTAATTTTTATTTTGACTTGCCGGTGGAATAGGAACCGAACAGACGCTCCCCAGAATAAAAGGAGCCAGGACCGTAAGGCCCTGCCTGTTTAAAAAAAAAAAAAAAAAAAAGGAACCCGACTGACGAGTCCTTCGGGACATCTGTTAAAATTGGAACGATACAGAGAAGATTAGCATGAAAAAAAAAAAAAAAAGGAACCGGACTGACGCTCCCGAGAATGGAAAGGAGCCAGAACCGTAAGGTTCTGTTTTTCCCAAAAAAAAATAAGAAATATAAAAAAATAAAAATAAATAAAGGAAGAAAGTTGAAGGACATCGAAAATGCGTTCTCAATTTTACACCTTGGTAGAATGCCAAATGGTGATCTTCAATAAGAAAGAGCACGCCGCTGTCGAGCGCATTGGCTCCCGCCTTTTTCGCAAAGGCGAGAGCCCTCCCGGCCATGTCACGCAGGAGTAAAACACGACAAAATCAAGAGCCAACTCTGGAACGACACTTAACAACCCCGAGAGTCGCCGAGACGGCCGCGATCGCGTCGTCCCTTCACCGCTCTAGCCGGGTGCGCCAATTGTACATCCCGCGGTCCCCTACGACAGGATAGGTTCCCGCGGGGCACAAGCTTTCCTTCCCTAAGGGGCTGTCACCACCCTTAGGGGCATATCCCTATCGAGCTACTGACCCACGTGCGAAAGTTTTTTGATGCAATTGCAGAGGTAGGTCAGCCGAGGGCGTTTGCTCGTTCGCTATAGTATAGATACGCTTGGTTAACGCCAAGCGAACCCGAACGTCGTCCGTTCCTAGGGCGCTGATCTCCTAGGTACGGAGTAAACGTCAGTCGACTAGGACGGTCTCAACCAAGCGTGAAACCCACAAGTCGATCCTCGTACCTTTAACACATAGTCAAGCGAGAGTTACGACAACCACACATATAATTATATCAAAAAGGAGTCGACCGTAGTCGACACGAATAAATATTCAATCTTAAATGATAACAAACAAAAATTCGAATCATCATACAATATATTTAAAAACGCAAGTTCAAAGTAAATTCGACCATCCCGGATCGAACTCCACAAAACAATCATACAACCGCCAATGAGGAGTTGGCTACATACAATAACATTGATGTAGCCGACAAGGTAGTCGGTCCGCCTCAGTTTTGACCTGATGAGATGCGTTGCCAAGGTTATTCATTTCATTCTACCGCCGACCTAAGATTGAACACGCACATACTCGTCTCCATACGTTTCTCTATCTTCTTGGATGACGGGCTGTTTTGCGGATGATTCTTGATCAGGGGCATTGCTTGAAGTGTTGCATGTCTCTCCCTCTAGGAAGTGGTATGGGGTACTCCTCGTCCGAGCACGTGACTCGGATCTCAGAATTCGGGCCGTCTCCACCGAATCGGCAAGCACCCCTCCATAGAACGGTCCACTCCGGGTCGATAACAGGGTCGGCTCCTAAAGCAACGAACCCCCGCCCCAGATGCTTCCTAGAGATAGAGAATGTGTCCACTGCAAGTAACTTTCGATTATTCTCATTCCTCCTAAGTTTAGGGTAACTTAGACGAAAAGAATCAGAAGAGATAGAGAATGAGAACCATTTGGACAGGTATACGTAGATCAGGCCATACGGGATAAAATGAATCAATCATGGGGAGAAGTTAAGTCCAATTGACCTCATCTTCAATATATTCACAAGTTTCTTTCACGACACCCATTGAAACTATCTATTTCAAAACACAAGTGCTTTTAATATGAAGGCAGATGAAAAATGGAAAGAG